GTCATCCTGAAAATTTTTAGAATTTATGTTGAAATTAAATTTCACATAAGGTGGAAGGAGATTTGAAGTAGATTTTCTAAGTAAACTTGCCATCTTAACACAAAACGAAACCAACTTAGAACATTTATAGCAAATCCTACCTCAAGATTAATTATTCAGCAATCCAGCTAATCTACCAAACCAAACACATTTACAACACAGTACACTACGTAAATTCAGCATAATACAACGTATTAAAGCAAACTTATCATAACATTTTAACTTACTCAACATTGTATCCTGGTAACAATCATAGCTAATACAGTAACAAACATAATTTTCTCGACAACTTTTCACGACTCAGTTGAGTGACACATGCATTACTCAACAACCTAACTCACCTATAGTTCACCCAAGTCTCATATGCTGAAACTTCCTACATCTGTCATGCTTGAGAATTGAAATGATCAAGCTCATTCTCTCATAACCTAATGCTTAAGGAATTACGATATATGATCTACAGCTGAGATTCCTTACTTAGAATACACAACTAAAGTCTAGTAATCTCACTCCGTAGGTTTATTTAAACTATACTCTGATACCACTAAACTGTCGCTACCCTTTTTTATAAAAGATCGATGATCATGTATTACTATTCTTTATATAGATTTATTTATAAAAATAAAATAAAATAAATATAAGGTAGAGGCTAAAATTTCCAGAAATTAAATTTCAACATTCAACCTAATAACAACACTCCAAGACCTTTTTCTATAACCTAAAAATTATACATAAGCGCATACACATTTATAGTAGTTGCTCTACATAGAGTTTATAATACAAATTCATAAATAATAATTACATTTCTGAAAATTGTAGCCAAATAGTCCACCTATTACTAAGATCTAGACTGTCGGAACAGCTAAAGCTACAATCTTTTCAAAAGAAAAGTATGATGACTTCAAAATTCCTCAACCAAATGCTCCAGCATGAGAAGTGGATGCATTTTCTGTCACATTTGCTCACGTACCACCGTACGGTCATCGCAGTACGCACACATGCCAATACAGACAAATGCAAGAGTGAGCTTATGTAACCAACAAACGTCACGATAAGATATGGAAATGTTAGAAATATTTAAATAACTCAAACAATCCTCACAATTCAGCACAACAATTCAGCTATTCCCAACCTATTTAATGCAAATACAACATTTCAGTCCCATATGGTTTTATAGCCTAAATATTCCAGAAGAAACTGTTCCTGATCTGGGAGTTACCTATCCCAGTATCTGGATCCAGACACAGCATAACTCAGCATATCTAACCACCTAAACATGTAACTCAACTCTAGAATGATGAAAATCAATGTGATGCAGCACAGCTATATATACATTCACAGCTTCAGTTATACAACTTTATGTATACTTTCTTGATAAACTAAACAGCTCACAACATTAATAAAACCTTTTAGCATATATCAACATCCTCAGTACATGTATCACAACATTCAAACAATAAAGAAATCTTCTCAGTCATACATACTCTCTAACCTAAGGTTTGCTCATACAACAAAATATTTTCAGTTAAGACGAAGTTATCTAATGAGTGAACAAAGCTTACCCAAGTAAACTTCTCTTACCTGAAATGAGTTTCCTTAGTTTTGAATCTTCTTGAGTTCTAACTAGAAAAACAGGGTTCAAGGGTCTAGGTCTCCTTAATATCATAAAATAAAAGACTTTTGAGGAAGAAAATCAAGAAACAAGGAGTAAAGTAGGAGAACCAAGTCCCAGGAACTCACTTAGATTCGTACTTAATCGATGTTTCCACTTGAATCGAGAGGAAGTTCAGCTTTGAGAAGATTTTTTCTAAGAAATAAAGGTGAAAGAACAGAGAGAAAATGAGAGGGGAAGGTTGTCTAGTGAGAAATGAACGTTTCTTTGCGCTAGAATTCCTTAAATACCCCTCTAGGCCCACGCGCTCTCACTTGAGCGAGCCCTACTCTTGCCTGTGCGAGCTTATTCTTCCTTGAGCGAGAAAATCGGACAGTGAAACTCCTTAAATTTCTACTATTCTCACTTGACTAAGGAACATCTCGCATTAGCGAGCAATAGCGTTCTCACCTGAGCGATATTGGGTCCAGAGAACTACCCATTTTTCTTGCAACTCCTCGCTTGAACGAGTTTCTCTGGCTTGAGCAAGGTTGCCTCTTGGATCCCTTCTCGCTTGGGCGAAGGGACAAATGGGGTAATCCTGATCTATGTTGAGAGAACGCTCCAGAATGCTTAATTTTGCATGAAAATTACCTCGCTTGAGTAAGACACTCTGCATTCAGAACTCTTAATTCTTTCTAAAATGAGGCAATACAAATTCTCAGCTACAATCCTTAGGTTATTATATACCTAATACACTCAATGACATTAAATACAACAATCACTCCACACTGCAATTATTCATCTCTTAAATCAACAATCATACAGCTTTCGCATTCATATTTCAACATATGAAAATCCATACATTTTAAGCATATACAACACCATTCAAAGGAAATAAAGGTCTAGTTTCATTTTTGACTTTGATTTAACATACATAATAAATAAATTAAACTTTTAAAAGCTTATTTTAAATATTCAGCTAAGTATGCTAGGAGGACCTAAGTTTTTAAAAGGTCTATATATACTTAACCGGGCCTATTTTAAAAATATAATTAAAAGTATATAATTTTTAAGTAAATTATTTATTATATATATATATATATATATATATATATATATATATATATACTAAGATGAAATTTATTTTATACAAAATATAATAGTTTTATTAAAGGCAATCAAACTCAAAAGCTTATGTTTCTTGTTTTGAGTCTTCAGATCATATAAATTTTCAAATATTACAGTTATACTTCTATATATTAATTAAAAGGTCACTCCATATGTGTTTTCTTGAATCATATTATTCAAATTGTAGAACTTACACTAGCAATTATTGGTAGCATGATTAATTAATTATTGTGGTTGTTTCATATAAGTATTGGCACGATTATTATGATTTACATACATAATTTTGAATCTTGGATAGATTAAGATAACATTTCCATGTTAGATAGCCAACTTGTTTAATATAGAAACGCTTGTGTCCTTTTCCCTGTATCTTCAGCAGCGTTTAACATGGGATTCATTTTCAATATGAACACTTTGGTGGCACGCAATGTTTACTTATCAAATTCTGTTCATCATTAGAAAAAAAATATAAAAGAAGGAAAAGAGAATAGGAAAACTTTGTTGATTAACTCAAATTGAAATGGGTTTTTTAGGTTGGAATACTGTCTTTCTTAGTCAATTAACAAATTTAGAGATGAAAGTGACAATGTCTTGTGAATCATAAACATTGTTGGATTGGTTGAAGATGGTAAAGAAGAATATAAAAATGGAGAACAAAGGGGTGTTGTCGGTGACGTGAGGAGAAGGTTACAACTTACAACAAACGAAGTCTGCACGGCATGATATATGCATAAATATGTAATATATTAATGTGTGTAGGCATATAGGTGAGGTGAATGACTTGGTCCACCTTAGTGTCAAGCATTATTTTTTGAGTCTTAGTATATGGATGCATCTTAGGATCATTTTGGAGCCTCCAAGTGGAGGCCATTCATGCAATCACAAGCATTTTTTCAACTACTGAAGAAGGGAATATGGGACAAAAACTAGCTTCTTGTTTTTTATTTTCCTCTCTTGATTTTGTCTAAGGTGCTTTGGTGATTCCATCTTCGTAGCTTGGCCTTAATATCATTGTCAAATTCAACATAGACAAAAGGGTATTTTTTATTGACCATTTATAGATATATGATTACTTGTTAAGTAAAAGAAGTATTTGCTTTCTTTTGATAAGTTAATTCCCCATCAGATGTCCTAATTTTTTCCATCAAAATTAAAATAATAATTGTTGCACACATAGATGCATGATTTGGATTATAGATTTCCACTTCCCCAAACTTGTTTGGACTTGAGAGTACGCATAAATTGTTTTTTTTTTTTTTTTTTTTTTTGTTATTTAAATGTTTGGTAAAATATGATTGTGTATGAATATAATTTCATCATCTATCTATTTGCTTTAAATTGCAAGCTAAAATGCAAATTCACCCGAAGTCGTGAGTTGAAGACATCTCAACTGTAATCAATTTTTTTGTGTGTATATTTTAGATTTAAAGAAATTTATTCAATTTTACATATTTATGGGTGTGATTTTATAACATGTAATAGTTATTCCAAACAATAAGTAACAAAATTTTAGTTATATCATATTAACGATAAAATAATTAAAATTATTTAAGAAGCTAAGGATTAGTGGGTTTTAACCTGAAATGCTGTTTATCCTTAAATTTCAACCACAAAAACCATAGAGTAATTGATTGATTTGTTTTAAGAAAATAATTATTTTATTATTTTTCTGAGAAAAGTTTAAAATATAATTTTATTTTGAAATTTAAGCATTTTCAACAACCTTAATTTAAAATATTGCTCTTCACATTATCAAGGAATAGCCCTTCATTTATTTATTTTTGTTTGATAAAAAATGATTTTTGACAAAAAAAAAAATTATATTAATAGCACAGCTAAAATTACATGAAATTGATTTTCATTTTAGTGGCTGCATGTAAACTGAAACAATTGACTGAGTCAGTAATGAAATGCCAACAAACGAGACAGCTATAGCGGTCATTCTGAATAAAGTCTCAGGGAAGAAATTGAATATGAATGCTAACTTGTCTGCATCATCCATAATTTTAAAAATAACCAACAATTAAAAAATTCTAATAAATGTTCTTGTAATATACTAAGCCCACTTGCTAAAAAGCTACGCAACTTTTTTCATCCATATATGAATGATCTCACAAACTTGCAAGCACACCAACAACATGAAATTTGAGGCACTAACCCTTCCATTATCTTTGTAAGAGCTAAGAAAGTTTCTACTACTTTCTCTTTCTTTGACACAACCTCATACATATTATTTCTAATGGAAATTCAATTCAAGAAACCAAAGCAGCAATTAAAACAAGGCACATCAAAAGGAGGCAAATTCAAAGGCAAAATCAGGAACAAAAACATTAACAAAAACAAGTATGTTGGGGTGAGACAAAGGCCCTCAGGAAGATGGGTAGCTGAGATCAAAGACACAACACAAAAGATAAGAATGTGGCTTGGCACATTTGAGACTGCAGAAGCAGCAGCAAGAGCTTATGATGAAGCTGCATGTCTTCTTCGTGGATCCAACACTCGCACCAACTTCATCACACACGTGTCCTTCGATTCCCCTCTTGCTTCAAGGATTAAAAATCTTCTCAACAACAGAAAAGGTACCAAACAACAAGAAGAACATGAGGAAGCAATATCTGCCACAAGGGTCAACAGCACCATTAGTAGTGCTAGTAGCAGTTCTAGTAGTACTAGTAGTATAAACTCATCAAATAATGACACTAGTGAAAACTCACTCTCTAGTGAGACAACCACCCACAACACAAAACTATTTGATGATGCTTATAGACCTGATTTGAGCAATTTCATGGAGGAGTCTGAGTCAGGTTCCAAGTCTAATGATCTTTCATGGGGTTTTGGACATGGTTTTGATTCTTTTCCCTTTAGCCAAGCGTTGGATATACCAAACCTGCCTGATACAGCTGGCTTGGAGCTTTCAGAATTTGAAAGGATGAAAGTTGAAAGACAAATATCAGCTTCACTTTATGCAATTAATGGTGTGCAAGAGTACATGGATACTGTTCAAGATTCAAATAATGAAGCTTTCTGGGATCTTCCACCCTTGTGTTCATTTTTCTGTTAAATATGGAGGTTTAGAAATATGATCCTGCAAATCTTTCTTCCCATTATGTTTACAGTCTATTTTTTTTAGTTTACTTTTATTTATGAATCTCAATCCTTAACATTATAGATATAGTAAATTTTTATTGAAGAAAATAATTATAATGTATTAAAGATATAAAAGTGTAACAAATATTTTATTTTTTTAATAAAATTTTACTATTATTAATTATTTAAATTCAATCTTTATCACTAAGATTAACAAATTCGTTTAATTAAACATCGGAAAGAACTTAAAATCTTGGATTAATTGAAAAATTACAATAGCTAATAAGCTTTAGTGAGATAGATATTTGTTTTAGCTAAGTCAGCTTTCTATAGAAGGTTAACTTGAATCATTATGGGTAACAACTTTTGTTTTAGTATATAACACATGAGAACTTAAGCTCGAAATCACTTATGAAAGTGAATTTAATAACTATACTATACATCAATTAGTTTTATGTTTGGACTTTGGTGATAAACTGTGCTTGTTTTAATTACAAAATAAATATTAATAGTTATTAAATATTTGAGAGAAAAAAAACAAAAAACTTTTGGATGCATCATTCCATGTCTATCACTAATTCAAGTTAAGGTATAAGGACGTTTAAGAGTAAAGTTATCTTGATATTTTCTTTTCTTTTTATTCATTAGACTCAGATTTAATATTTGAAAGAAATTTAACTCTTTACTACTTATACTAATGAGAGTTCGAGGATTTTATTAGGTTTTGGTCCAATAGTATAACTTAATTCATCTATTTGGTGGCTAAGTAAGGCATGAATAACTCAAAATTCTCAGTCAATTATTGCTACTTATAGTTATCTCATGTCTTACTTAAATATTGGCATGTGAAACATTACTAAAACGACTCATCCAAAATTTTTATATGAAGGTTATAGGTGCTTCTGGAAGAACTTATGAAATATTTGTGAAAATAGTTTAGTATTTACAGTTTTTTTTTTTAAAATTCACATAATCAAAACAAGTTTTTATATTAATAAACTTTATGATAAAGTCTATCAACTCCTTATAAATGAAAACTTATTAAATAGATACTTAATTAAAATATTACTCAAATTCACACGTATTTAAAACTTATTAAATAGATACTTATTAAATGAAAGCATAATTAAGATATGCTTACATCTTATGGTGCTTAAAGACATTATTATCACCTGCCTTGACCCAAAAGCTCCTTTTATATATTATTCTTTGTTAGTCCTTATCCTCTATCTTCCATTTGGCCCGTGAACACTACATCAAAGCATGCCCATCTCAAAGGGCCCCTTGAAAGTTGAAACGTCCAACTGCATACTAACAATTGCTGAATTGGGAAGTAAGAAGGATTGAAAGTAGTTAGAGGCCAATTATTTTATATCGGTATGAACAAGTGGTATGTCCCGTGAAATTATAATATATCCTATCAAAAAATAATAATAATTCTAAGGTCAGCAATCAGCATAAAGAACCATAAGGAATTATCACACTAACAATGGGTAAATAGATTTTTTAAGTTTGTTAGATTAAAATAGAACATGAAATACATCAATGATGATAATTTTTCACTGTGAGGAGCAGCTGGTTACAGACCCTGATGAGTGTGGAGATAAGGAGGATTGGAAGTTATGTTATTTAATGCTTCAAGACCCGTATTTCATGGTGTTCTAAGAAGAAAATGTATGAGGATTAATATATCCTTGCTTCTTTGGAAGCATGTCAACCATTGTGGCTTGAGAATTTGTTAGAAGAGATTATGCTAAAATCATCTAGGCCTACGAAGTTGAGGATCGAAAACAAATCAACTATCAATTTGGCAAAGCATTCAATTGTTCACAGAAGAAGCCAACACATTGAAATTAAATTTCACTTTTTGAGAGAACATGTGAATAGAGGGAACTTGGAGCTGGCACAATTGCAACAAAAAAGACGATTGAAGACATATGGACAAAATCTTTGGAGGTTCACAAATTTTGATTTCTAAGAGACAATATAATTTAGAAATATTAATTAATTTTAATTTATAAAAGATAATTCATTTATTTTAAATTTTTATAGATATTAAATGATACAATTTTCTTAGTAATTTATATAAGTATGCATCTATACCTATATGATATTGTTTAATGTGGACTAGTTAATCCAAATATGAGTGTTTCTAAAATATATTTTCAAAAAACGTAATTCTATAAACTAAATAATAAAATAAGTTATTTGAACAATAAATTTGGTGGGAAAAACCATTACTAGAAATACGCAAATTACAAAAGGATAATTTATGGATGGTACATAAAAAAATTAGACTTTTTTAATTTTTAGGCAAATTTGTTTATAAATATCGAGTCATTTGGCGCATAACATAATAAAAAGAAATTATAGATAAATTCTTTTGTCTGTAATTCAATACTAAGGCGAAAAATACAGAAAATTCGTTTGTAACGTGAGAACATAAGCCTGTCTTTTCATATATTTCATTATAGATGGAAAAATCCATTTGTGTAATGGATTTAATGAAATGATGCATTCCATAAAGCATATTATAGACAAATAAAACTAGTCTCCCTCCTTTCTCTTTCTCACTTCTCCATATTTCTCTGTCCCTCTCATCTCCTCTCTCTACTATCTTTAGTTCTTTGTTCATTGCTGATGGTTAGAGTGTCTATTTTAAAAATAAGTTGCATTATTTTGTTCTTGGTATGATACTTTAACTTTTAATCAATTTCTTTTATTTATTTTGGATATAGAATAAAGATTTATAATTTCTAAGAGAGAGTTGTAGGACTAGATATTACATGATTGGGAAGAGTATAGAGGTCCTTCCTCAAATTATTTGTGTTATTTGTTATGAGATTGTATGTGTTTGCGAAAACTATAGAATATGTATTTTATGGAGTTACGGAATGCTTACGACAACGATTTTAGGATTGTGATGTGTATTTTTAAAATTTATTTATCGATATATTTTAGTATATAATTATGTATGAAGGAAATGTTTATTTTTATATTAGGTGTTAATGTACTTGACCGTGTATCTCTCTAGTTCCTTAACACCTCAACTATTTAACTTTCTTATTAAATTATACGCTTAGAAACATAATCAGTCAAGTTCATGCATAGACAGGGGTATGCAAAAAATTCAAATTTAATGATCCAATCCATAACCAAAATAAATTAGATTTAAAAATATGGATTATTTTTTAAAAATTAGACATCCAACCTTTTTATTTTTGTTGAGATAAATTTTGGATCTCATTTAATAAAACCAATTTTAATGCTAAAAAACTAGATTTTATGCCAAACAGTTCGCTCCAAGTCCCAGGACCAGCACCCTAATGCTATTTATACTTAACGATTCACTCAAAGAAAACAATAGGCGCTATTCATTTTGTTAAGTTTTGTTACATGTGATATCTACCTTTTCTCTATTTGTATTATATATATATATATATATATATATATATATATTAATAAATTTTATAAACACAAAATATATTTTTTATTAAATATATTTTAAAAATTATTTTTAATTATTTTATGATAAGATAAATTTTATATCTTATAATGATATTTTTAATATATTAATTTGTAATAATATTATATAATGTTAATTTATATTAAATAAAATAAAAGTATAAAATATTATAAATATACAAATATATATATATATATATATATATATATAAATCTTACTATGCTAAGGAAGTATATTATTAAAATCAGTTTTAAACTATATCTAAATTTAAAAACCAGTTTTAATTTAGTTTTTAAAAAAGTAATATAAATGGACTTAAAATCTAATTTATATAATTAAATTTAAAATTGATTTAAATTGAATTTATACAAATTTAATCCATTCTCACCTCTATACATAGATACATGGTCATGAATTTGACAATGTATCTTTCTACGTTAAAAATTTTGCTTAATCTAAGAAGTACATGAGTAGATTTGTAGGGGTTGCCAGGTAGATCTCTACCTTTACACTCATAACAATTTATTCAAGCTAGAAGGAGTAAGAGAGTACATAGAAGAAGACATGGGTTAAGAAAATAGAAAAAAATGTAGCATCTATTATGTATAGGAAGGTGTAGCAACATCATGTGTAGACTTCAAGTTATTAAAAGCGTGCAACTCCATACATCTTCCTCATCCTTTGATAATGATGTTGTGTATGATAATGATAGACATTGTTATTTTATTTTTTACCTTGTAATTTTAGATGTTTACTTCTTGAATTGTAATGATTTTTAATTTATTTTGTAAATAATTTTTTAAATTTTAAATTTTAATTTTATAATTTTCTTTATGTTTACAAATTATTATGATAATTAAAAATAATAAAAAATAATTATACAAGTAAATAAAAGAAAAAAAATCAAATTACATATTACAGACAGATTATCAAATCCATTTGTATTAGTTTATCAACAAAAAAAAATTATATATGAATCTAAATCGTTTGTAATGATGAAATTTATTAGTAATTTTTTAATTTTATCTACAACTAACGTGTTTTTTATAGTAAAAAAATAAACACTCAAGAATGTAACATGTAGAAGTTGGTGTGTAACACTTCTTTTAAGATGATTTAAGTTAAAAAAATAATTATTATGAAAAAATTATATATATTTAAAAAAAATTATAGTCACTTGTTAAAATTTAATTCTTGGAAAATTAAAATTAAGTAAATAATACACACATAATAAATATAATAATAAAAATATCAATTTCAAGTAAATATAATAAATAAATTTTAATTATATAAGTATGCACTTATTTATTTAATTCAATTAGCAAAATAAGCTTAGATAATTCACGAATAGTTTAGCTCATTTGCACCCCAAATTTCAGCCATTAATTTTGCACAGAAATAAGCATGTGATTCAAAATGACATCTACACTACCATTATCCATAAAACAATTAGCTTAACACTTTAAATAGAAGCAACCATAAGATCACTGACACATATCATTCAAGAAAAAGATGCATAATCACAATGGACAAGGACAATATTACATGACAAGACAGAAACAAATGTTGGTAACTGATGATGGAGGATCACTTCTCAATAATTTTCTACTTCTTCATCCACCCCTTCTTCTCCAATTTCTTCGTAGTCTTTTTCAAGAGCAGCAAGGTTCTCCCTAGCTTCTGAGAATTCACCTTCTTCCATTCCTTCACTCACATACCAATGTACAAATGCCCTCTTGGCATACATGAGATCAAATTTGTGATCAATGCGAGAAAAAACCTCAACCACAGCAGTGTTGTTGCTTATCATACAAACTGCCCTCTTCACCTTGGCGAGATCACCCTCTGGTACCACTGTTGGAGGTTGGTAGTTGATACCACACTTGAAACCAGTGGGGCACCTAAAATTAGTCACCAAAATAATTTGATCAGATTTTGTTAAAGAGACATCAAAGTTCAATGATCAAATGTCCCTTGTAGAATTCCACAACGACTCAATTCAATTATTTCAATCTCATCAATAATAATAGATATATAATATTCTTAAAAAAAAGTGTACATATATTCATATAACTAGAGAGAGAAATGTGTGATAAGATAGATGATGTGATGGAAAGAGATAGAGGAAAAAAAAAGAATGTTGTACAATTTTATTGTGGGAATATAATTTTTCATAATAATATTGAACAAGACCTTAAAAGAATAACTTTTTTGACAACCTAGTTTACAGTTTATCAATCTTTCTACTAATGACACTTTTTCACAGGAAAAGATTCTACCTGAAGACCCTATAGAGCTTCATATAAACATGCACCCCATTCAATGATGAACCTTATGTTTTCAATAAAGAGAGTCCCAAAATTAGGACCCATCTTCCTAAATTTTGTTGAGATATTTTTCAGTCAATAATCCAAATGGATAAGTTACAAGATTTGACAAACACCTCTAAATCATAATCAAACAACAGTCTTTACCACCAAAAAGTGTCATGTCAACAAGCATAATTAAGTGTATTTTGACAGTTCAAGGCTAATTTTCCCGGTAATTAATGATAATCATTTTTTATCTTTATTCTTTAGAAGATCAAAGAGAAAACATGAACACAAAGGAACTAGAAAACCGACTATGGAAAGCCTATATACTAGTGACGAGATAGTCAAGACCACAATAGAAAAACAGAACGGTGAAGTATCATGTAATCCAAGTTGTATCCGATTACATATGTTCATCCAAGGAAGTCTAATAATTACCAGTCAACAAACTGAACTTGTCTCTTTGTCTTGATATTTGAAACAGAAACATTTACATCTTTTGGTACAACATCCCCGCGATACATCAAGCAGCATGCCATGTACTTGCCATGTCTTGGATCACACTTGACCATCATACTTGATGGCTCAAACACAGCTCTGGTGATCTCAGGCACTGATAACTGTTCATGGTAGGCCTTAACAGCAGATATCACAGGGGCATAAGACGAAAGCATAAAATGGATTCGAGGATATGGCACAAGGTTAGTTTGGAATTCAGAAATATCCACATTGATTGCACCATCAAATCTCAATGAAGTGGTTAAGGAAGAGATAATTTGAGATATCAAGCGGTTCAAGTTAGTGTAAGTTGGCTTTTCTATATCCAATGATCTTCTGCAGATATCATATATTGCTTCATTGTCCAAAAGCACAACTACATCACTGTGCTCAATAAGAGAGTGATTGGAAAGAACGGTATTGTAAGGTTCAACAACTGCAGTAGATACCTACATTGTTAATAATAACATCATTACTTTTAAGGACATTACCCTTGGATATCCAAGAATAAGGAAACCAAGAATAAATAGCCCAAAAAGTGTAGAGCAAAATATGTGAAAACATTGCTAGCAATGTTACATATCATCTTGCAATATACAACAAATTTTTTAACATGGTGATGTATATGCAATTCCAATTGTTTATTTATTACTTAATATTCTTCATTAGAATTTTCTTTCATATAAGATTGGAATAAAAGGGTATACATTATACAATCATAACATGTTATAAAGTGAGCAAATGCTTGATGCTCTCCCAAAAACAGTTCGTTTTACCACACCTGAGGAGAAGGATAAATGATGAAGCCAAGTTTTGATTTCTTCCCATAATCTACAGACAAACGTTCCAAAAGTAAAGATCCCAAACCAGAACCAGTGCCACCACCAACAGCATTGAAAAACAAGAACCCTTGCAAGCCAGTGCAATTGTCAGCTAATTTTCTAATACGGTCGAGGCATAGTTCTTCAATTTCTTTGCCAACTGCAGCATAGTCACCAAATAAGTGACTGTCTCATAATATATATATATATATATATATATATATATATATATATATGTTTATATACCAAATTTTGAGTTACTATAAATGTGATTGACCTGTGTGATGTCCCCTTGCAAAATTATTAGCAGCATCTTCCTTGCCAGAAATTAACTGCTCAGGGTGAAAGAGCTGTTTATATGAACTACATCTTACTTGATCAATTACACTAGGCTCCAGATCAACAAATAAAGCCCTCGGAACATATTGGCCAGATCCAGTTTCACTAAAGAAAGTGTTAAAAGCATCATGTGTATCCCCATCTGAGGCATCACTGAGAGTATATAAAAATCAGTATTAGCTGTGCTAGTGCCTAAAAGTAAAGGGAGTAACCATTATGATATGTAAAAAAACCAACTTATAATTTCAAGGTAATGAGAAATTCGAAGCTTAAAAGTGTGGGGAAACACTATCAATTTATTATAAATTTTGAGCTTCAGATTATTTTACTCTCAAGATCCCAGCAAGACTTATTGCTGGTAAATGAAGCAAAAAATCAACCATTTGTTTCTAGTTTGCAATTTCAACTGGTGAGAGGAAAATGGTATAACCCCGCTTTTTTTTTTTTTTTAATTTTCATTACTTAGAAGTCACATTAGACACCAAAATTCAAGTTGAGAACTGGACTCACTTGAGAGGGCAAAGCTTTCCCAATTCATATATTATTTTTTCCATTTACAAGACTCGAACCTGAAATCTTAAAGGGAACCAAACTCCTGGCCACTTGGACCAAAGGCATTAATTGATAGGAATTCCACTTTTGAAGTCTCAGATGTTGCCAATAAAAAGGAATTCTCAAAATGTATAAATTGAGAGCATGGCAGGGATGCATGCTATATCAGGTAATAGGAAACTCAAACAGAAACAGAACGAAAAAAAATTAAAATTTTAAGAATCCACCATGTTGAGCTTGAAGGTTATAAAAGTAAGTTCAAATATAATTCTTTCAGAAACATAACTATAGAAAAATGGATCTGTGCTATAGAAGTTGGCAGCAATACGTGAGTATAAGCAGAGTACTAACCACCAACTAAAAGCAATTTATCATACAGAGAAAAAGTAAGAAGTGATCTGCAATGATATTACGTCATTTATAAGCAGATAATAACAGATAATAACACAAGGAAAATATTTAGGAGAGTGGAAATCTTTGAATACATTGAGCAATTTCAATTTCCATTTTATTTTTCTACCTTTGGGAGCAGAATTTCATATTAGAATCAGGTTGCTGGAAATAAGGCACACATAACTAAAATATCAATGCATTATCTTTTCTAACTTTTCTTTCCTTTCTGTAATTTCTTTTCGTTTACTCAAGAAATGAGAGAGCTAACGAAGTTCCTCAAGTGAGTTAAAGCCATAATTAAAAAAAAAAAGATTTTGATATGCCAAATTGCCAATTACATTACCATAATTAACAAAGATTTCCAAACACACTGAAGTTTTATCAAATCCTGTGAAGGAAGCACATTGCTCATAATGAACTTAATTATATGCATGTTAATACACCTCTCAATCAAAATGTCAGTAGAAGGATAAAATGGAATACATGAAACATAAACCAGAAATGTAATAACTAAGAATTAAACGTGAAATGTATAAGGTTTATACTTTGATTTAAAGCATAGCCTAACTGGCCTTATATATGAAAACATAAACACTAAAAAACAATTAGAATACAATTTTTAACGAACATTAAATCTAACGAGTGCGTCAAAAGGAGAAATGCAAGCCAAAGCTGAAAAATAGATTAAAGGAAGTTTCGTGTATGTTTAGTTTTTCGTTGAAATAGAACCTAACAATAGTTCAACATAAAATTTTCCTTTCATGATTTTCGCATCTCAATACTTGCAATAACTTTCTAAGGGTAACCAAACGCAACCTTTCCTATAACGATCCGGTAAAAGCTCAAGCAAATATGACATGACATGAAACAAGCATTTGAATCACAAGACATTGATCATAAAAGCACCCCATAAACAAGAAATAATCATGTTTTGTTTCAAAAGCTTTAAAAACATAAGGTAGCAATTTCTCAAAAATTAATCTATAAATTTTATTTTTTAACAAACTTAAAGATCCACGTAATTAAGATTCTGACCAATTGACCTCTAAGCATACGTAAGATTCTTTTAAGAAAATGAGAAAAATATACAGAAAATAAGACCTGGGCATTGTTCCATCAGGTTGAATGCCATGCTCAAGGCAATATAGCTCCCAACATGAATTACCAACCTGAATTCCAGCTTGTCCAATATGAATGCTAATTATTTCTCTCATATTCTCTGCTCTCTTTCCTTCTACAATATTCTAGTTATGCTTATCAATTGAAAAAACTAATCAAAAGCAATAATCGCAAGGCTAACACAGAAACTAATAGTAATTACAAGGAGGGAAATGCAAAAGAGAGGAATCAAAGAAGAAGAAGAATATTTTATTTTATCGCTTCTGCAATTAATGGAAATGAAATTACTACATGATTTCCAAAAGCTAAAAAGCACCGAGTTTTAACCATTAATAAATTCCTTAAATTAAGTGTGTTTTTAATAAAGTGTTTTGTTCTTACAAAAGTTGCACAATTTAAATTTAGTCCCAATAAAACATTTAGTTAGGCTATAATTTTTATTTTCTCACAAATTATTATTTTTAGTCTATTTAACTGTCATGGTTCATTGATTGAAATATTAACTTTTGGTTTGATTATGTCAGCTGCTAGAGTGGCTAAAACCAATACCCTAGTGTCCACATACAAAATACACTGAAGATAAGAACAGTACAAAAAATTTCTCCTCCCACTATCTGCATATATAAAAAACAAAACTAGGTGGTGGTCGGAGAGTACATCTTCGAAACAGGGTCCTCTAGGAGGGTCTCTCATCATCCGCGATGGTAACAATGAAAGTGGCAGGTCGATACAAGTGCATTGCGGACTTCACAAATTTATTTTAATAATTAGGTAATACAAATTAAATTTTGTTTTTGATGATGTCCTTAAAGTTGTAAATACAAATTGATATCAAATTAATGACTTAACTGTGAGATCTTATTTATTATCATTTATAAAATATCTCTAGTAAAATATTATTATTATTATTATAATATAATATGTTGAAACTAGTGTCTAAGTAGACCGATGATTAGGTCTCATTATGAATGAGATATCAAATTTTTGTCCAGATATATATTAGGAGTAATGATGTATTAGATTAACTTATTATGAAAATATTTATAGATTACTACACAAATGTCATAAAAGAATTCTCAATGTAATAGTAGTATATATGTTCTTTTGACTTGAAGTCATTGTGAATCGTATATAAAGATTTTTATATTTTAATCTCATCAAACATAATTTATAACAAAGTGATTATAAAGTTAGAGGTTAAATATAAAATAAGTTATGTGGATGAATGTAAATAATGTAGGTAAAATTTCTCCCTCCTATGTAACAAAAATAATATATAGATAGAATTAGACTATGAAATGTATAACTATGCAATAAAATAAATATAAGATATTTATTTAAAAATATATGATTGGAAATTAAGAAAATAAAATTAAACTTTTTACAAAGTGAGATGTTTTATAACTTGTGTTCAATTAGATATGAGGATAAAGGGACTAACCATATAATTTATATATTATCTTATAAATAGGTTATCAATTTAATAGCATTTGTGGTATTTTGAAATAATATGTTTCTAGCTATATTATTCATTATTCATGATATTAAATTTAAATAGTTTATATATGAATATCATGAATGAAATATTAAAATAATTTATAAGGTCGCACACAAAAATAAACTCGTTAAGAAGTCAAATTCTAGCTAGTTAGACTATATTATCACCTAATTGAGCAAAACTCGTAATTAAGAAGTTTAGAGATTGAACTATGCTTGTTAGGGTTTTCCTTTTATAAGAGCACAATAGATGTGTAATCCTGACGAGTGTAGCATTACTCACTCTTGCATGACTACTAACATAACGATGGCAGAGAACTTTGACATTTTGTTCATGTGGATACTTGAAGAAATGCAATTATGACTAACACTTTTGTCAAAACTAAGTAATTATTAACCAAATTTGTGTTTATATCCTTGCTTTGAAATTATAATAATCACGTAGACATATGAGAATTCGTATGTTTTATTGTTGTTAACACGTATACGATTCCCAACATCAGGCTCCAACGTAGGAATGGAAGAAGTAGGTACCATGGTAACTAACATAGATGCATAAACAACGAGTGGTGGTGCACCCTCAAAAGTGTTAGATAGAGTGGGCAGTGGCAGGTGCAAAGGGTCAAAAGTAAATCTATCAAGCAGAATTGTCGTTACATGTACTCATCTTGAACTCAATAGTCACACGATGAATAGCAGCACGAGGTGCATGAAGCTTATAGTTATCTATCCATGAAATGTTGTCTCTCTAGTTTGGGCGTTAATTAATCATTTTTATTTGTTTAAGTTAAGTATCTGTTCATTTTGTTTATATTTAACTTGACTAGTTTGTTTTGTTTTTTTATCTTTAGTATTATATAAAATTTCAAATCCTAATTTTTTCTGGGAATAGAATTCAACAACTCCAAAAGAAATAAGTGCATATTTGTATCATAGATATTTAAAGGACACATTAACCAACACATTATTTTATGTAGTTCAATGTAATTATAATCTTGTATGTGTCTTTTGTGTGTATTGTTCTATTACTTTGGAACATTCAATTATTCTCAATTTGATTTAATAATTAATTGATATATGTAGTATTTATTTCTTTTGAAATTCTAGAATATCAAACTCTATATTTGAGATATTGTTCTATTTGCACTGTTTTTAATAATATATGATTTATTAAATATGCTAAAATTTGTAATAATTTTAAATTTATAAAAAATAATCTGAGAGCTGCTCACAAATAACTATTCTTGGAAGTTAATTTGAAAAGCAGTTCATAAGCAACTGCTTTCTGAAGTCTCCAAAAGCAACCGCTTTCAAAAGTTTACTTTGGATAGCAATTCATAAATAATCGCCTTTAGAGGTGGAGTTTGGAGAGTAATTGATGTGGAACCACTCTTAAAAGTATTTTTTGAAGAGCTATTTCATATTAAACGACTCTAAAAAAAAGATATCAAATACCAAACTAATATTATATGTAAACTTAAATTATAGCTTATAAATGTGTTGAAAGAGTGTTTTGAATTAAAGTTTAAAGTTTAGAGAATGATTAATGTCTGAACTACTCTCTATGCTAAAACTTTTGAGAGTGGTTCTGTGTGGAATTACTCTCCAATATTCACTTTTGATAATGATTATTTAACTTTTCTCTTAAATTCAACATATTGCATAGTACGATATTTTAAAGAAATTTTAAACACTCTCTAAGTTAAAGTACTATAACTCTCACATCTTCTTTGTAGCATAATGATAGAACCACTCATTGTTATTGGCAAAGGTCACACAAATTTGCAAAAGGACAAAATTCATCTAACACATATGTCCTTGTGAGAAAAGAAAGAAAGAAAAGGTAACACACAAGTAGAGGAAAGAGGTGAGCTTATGTTCTACATTTCATACATGGTAGATAAGAAATATTAATTAAGCAAAAATAACATAATAACTTTTCATGTATAATGCACAATCAGTAGTATTATGCAATGCCTAATATAAGTTTATTTATGTTTTTAATCTCTTAATTTATGTATGTGTCATGTCATGCATGCTAACTCGTCCTTACCAATGTCTCAATACATTGTGTCAAAGGACTTCATTCTTTACTATGGTATCAGCTCATAACTAAAAGCAATAGTTATCGATCAAAAACTATATCAAATATCTGAGAATAAACCTACCACGGTCATGACAATGCTTTTACTTGTTAGAATAGCATAAGTTTGCAAGTGATTGACCTACACAAGCTTCGTTACTAACTAAAATTGCTAGTTTGAGTAATATTCCAAAACAAAATTAATAATTAACTATTTTCAATAAAATCAGTTTTACTAAATTAAACTTTTTAACTAATTGTAATTTGGATGTTGTGGAATAACAAGAATGTTTGAGGTACTGTTTCGGAATAAAATTAGTAATCAGAATTATTTTTCTTTGCTAATTAAGAAGTTACTTAAATATATTGTCTCTAACTTTATTATATTTCAGTTTATGATTCATTCGACCTGCAAGAAGGAGGCTATTATTGGATGGAATCTTCCTTTTTTTCAAAGTCTTAAACTCAATTAATGGGGATAATCCAGTGAACTCTCAAAAGGTTAGGTAGTGTGTTGTAGTTCAATTCATGGGACCTTTGTTTTGTTAGCTATTGGAGACAATGCTCATCCTTAGTGGCTGAAATGGACTTTAAGCTTGCAGGCTGCAGTACATTTGGTTAAATCAAATGTTAGCCATAAACATAGGTTGAAACTTGTTATTAGTGAAATTAACAACTCAATTTAGTTTCGTAAAATTATTAGTTTATATCATCGTATACTGGAAATAAATAAGTGTTAACTTCTTAGCCCATTAGGGGTTAGTTGAAGTTTTAATTTTTTGTACTCTCGCTTTTCTCTTATTCCTAAGAGAAGCTTATGAGATATGGTTTTTTTTTAAGCTGATTGGTTAGTTTTGTTTCTGTACTTGCGCTCTTTTGAACTATTACTTTTTAATTATTAGTTTGAACCTCTAACTTTTTTATTTTCATTTCAATTTTTTTTAAATATTTTTTTTCATAAAAACGTTAATTTCCTTAAAATAATTTATTATTTATGTTCTTTCCCATGAACTCTAATAAAAACATATATTTTGAGAAAATTTTCTTTCTTTTTTTTCACTTTTTCTTCTTCCTTTGACTCGTTCACATTTTTACGATGTGTTTCTCTCTCCCTTTAAAATTTGATAAATTTTTTTCTTTTTTTCCTCCTCTTATCACCCCTTATATGTACCTCTTCTCTCTTTAAACTTTAAAAATCTACTTTTTTTTTTTAGTGAAATTTTTAGTTAAGTCTTTGGGTCATAGAAAAAGACAAAGAGCTAGGCAGTGATAATAGCATCATACCAACCTCGATACTGCTCTTATTGCCTCACTCTTGTCTTCTCTTCTAATTTCAAGATCCAACTAAAAAAGTCACCAAATAAAGAGAAAAGTTTTAAATTTTAAAAAAGGAGTGAGGAATGGTTTACATAAGAGTGAACGAAAATTAGAGGAAGATGAGAAAAATGAACAATTTTTTGAAATTTGATGGTTCAAGAAACGAGTCGTGAAAGCATAGATGAGAAGTAAAAAGAG